GCAGAGGCGAAGCAAAATCAGCTCACTCAATTAACAGCCGAGAATGAGCGCCTTCGAACGGCAGTAGCATCACGCACGGAATTGGTAGAGGCTGAGCATCAGCGAAGTGAGTCGGAGCTGGAGACGTTGTGCGACGAGCGTCGACGAATCCAAGACGAGCTTGAAAGCGCTGAGAACGAGAAGATCCGTCTAGAAGAGCAATTGCTGGCGTGTGAGATGAAATGCGATGATCTGAAGATTGAGCTGCAGCTGCAGAAGGCGAACAACTCAGAACTGACAGAGATGCACAATGAGGCTAACAGACGTTGCGAGGATGCACAAGCAACACTTCAGGTATCGAAACAGCGACAACCAGAGCAGAGGTCGTTTGAGGCATCCACGTTGTGACGTAGCGAAGAAACTATCAAAGTAGCTCCTTAGCTAGTTGATCCCTACGTACTGTAGCACTTCAGCATTGAGTCGATTAGGTCTTAACAGCGCGCGTTGCGCAATTTTGCAGCGTTGTCTTCGCCCGTTGTCGCAACATGGATGTCCTGACCGGCGCTCAGCCTGCGCGCCGAAATGAACTGTAAATAATTTGTAGACTGTCGAAGCCGAAAACATGGCATTGACTGAACGTTTGGCGAAAGCTAAAGAAGAACTGGAGGACGTGAAGGTTCAGCTGCGTGCGAGAATCACACAGGATGAGGTACGTTTCGTGAGTCCAGCCCTGTGTAGCACCACTTCGTCTTTCCTGACAAGTACCAGTCAAGCACATCAGACCTGGAGCGGGTTCAGCGAAAAAAAAGCCCATTTGCTCTAGCTTGTTGTCGAGCGAGAGTATAGCTTGGTTGAGCTAAGCCGCCGTCTTGATGAATTCTTTTCTGTTTTTAATAGTGGAGAATGTCTTTGAAAGAGCTTACTATATTGCCGTAGAAAAACTCGTAGAAACGAGCTCTGCCCGAGGCGTTTGTTCATGGACTACCGGGTAGAGCAGGGGCATTTATTGCTGATCTTTGACCGTTCTTGCACTGTTTTTTAGGCGCTTTTTACTTTTACTTCCTCAATCTTCCGAAAAACTAGACCAATTCACCCGCTTTTCTTTCTTGGAAGGCAGATTCGGCCTTGATATTTGTCTCTGGGAAATAGCTTTACCTCTTGAACACGAATACCACATCCAGAGGGCTTAAAAACCGCGTGGCGCCCGCATTATAGGCGGCGGCACCACATGCCTGTTTTGATCCCGGTTCGGCTTCATGTGATTTCGTGCCAAGCAGTTTGTGGACGAGCAAAAGCAGGTCGCGCAGTCTCGTGCACCACCTTTCCCCATTCTTAACTCCATTGGCACCCCATGAATGTTTGTGTTCAGGAGGTGAGACTGACCTTTGGAAGGAGTTTTCAGCAAACTTGGTGATTTGGGGTTTTTGGCGCCGGCGGCTGTGGCGCGGCAGCCAGGCGAGTTGGCTGTGCGCTCGTGCGATATTCGTAGCTAGGGGACTAGTTTCCAGACAGATCGAATTTCTGACCCGAGCTTTAAAACTGGGCAGTAAAGGATAAATACAGTGCTTTTCGCCGCCATTCCTCACCTCTCGTATCACAAAACCATAAGCAGATAACCGCGGTCTAGAGCGAATGCCTAAGCAAGAGAATGTTGAATTTTTTTTCCAGAAAGATGGTCAGCGTTCAGCTGACGAAGCCAAACAGAATGCATCCCAGTGGGAACAACTGGAAAGGATACTGAGTGAAGTGCGACGAGAACTTGAGGAGAAAGAATTGCAGAACAACCTCCTGAAAGACAGCGAGGCTCGCCTTCTGGACTTCAGTCGATGAGTACGGTCTTCAAGCGGAAAAGTGGGTTCAAATCCAATCCTATTGTGTAGTTTGAAGAGGCATTTCTAACTGAGAACTTTATTGCAGATATCAACAGGAAGCTGAGCGATTACAACAAGTTGTCAACCGTCTGGAAAAGGAAAGAATGGAGTTAGAAGGAAAAGTCGAGGAGATGCAAAGAGGCCAAGATCGTCTTAAACAGACTGAGGGACTGCTGGGAGCGATGGAAATGGAAAAGGAAGAACTCGAGAAGCGGTTAGCGCAGCAGAGGTAGGGACTTTGGTAGGTAGGGACTATGCGTTCCACCCCTCAGTTAGGTGGACGGATTTT